CACAAAAAAAAAATTCAAGAAAAAATACAATTTATAGACAGTCAAATTCAGAAATATGACAATGGTATAGTATCAAGATTTGAATATATAAAAATTCTTGCAAACAAATTTAAGCCTACTAAATAATATTAAAACAGTGCAGGTCAGTGAATATTTGTATATTAAATTATAGTACATAAATACCTATTGTATACCTAATATTGTATATTTTTATTAAATTATTTTTTATTAATTTTATTTTTTATTATTATTTTAATTTATTTTCAAACAATTTTTATTGACTATTAAATGTAATATTTGTATTTTAAATTAATTTTATGTATAGTTTAGTTTATTTTCGAACAATTTTGATTGACTATTAAATGTAATATTTGTATTTTAAATTAGTTTTATGTATAGTTTAATTTATTTTCCAACAATTTTTATAACCAATGAATTTATAAAATATATGTCGAGGGAGCCAACTCAATGCATAAATCTTGGGAGCCAATTCAATACATAAAAATATCGTTTACCTATGTTCGGGAGCCAAATCAATAGCTCCGATAAGGACTACGCCAAATCACTCAGAATCATTTTTCATGTACAATGGTTTATCATTGTATATTCAAATATAACACATCCATTACAGCTACTGTACAGCAGAGCAGTACCCACATTGTCCACCTTTTATTTTAAACTTTATAGTTATTACTTATTACAGTTGTAATATAAACCATGAGTTTGATTAATTGGTTCAATGACTCAACGGCCTGCGCTTTGTTTGTTACTTTACCTAATGCAAAATAAAGTTGGACTTGAAAAAAGACAAGAGGAGAACTGTTAAAAGAAAATTCATATTTGACTAAACAAGTAATGAAGTTAATGAAGTAATTACAATAACAGGTAAGGAAGATTTCAGGATAACTGTATTAATTCTTCGTTATATTGGATAAAATGATTTCTAAAGTTTTAAGGAGTAGAAATTTAACTGTCGAATTTGTTTTTTTCACAAATTTAATGAGGAAACTATTTCCGAAAAAACACTAATAATATTGATTTTATGCATATTGGCGACAAATTGTTCAGCAAAGCTCTCTGGTTATTACTTTATCTTCAGTATTGAAAATAGTAAAAACCATATTCATTGAACAATGAACATTTGAACAATTCGTTCAACAATGGAGTCATATACCAAGATTATTATTCATGAGCGGATTCAGGGGGGGGGGTATGGGTGCTCGGGCACCCCCTGTCGTCTAATGCACTCTAAGTCACTATTAAAATACATTTGTATTCAAAATTCTAAAATAGAAAGGTGTAACCATTTTTTTTTTAGATTCTGAGCGGAGTGATGAGTGGATTATGATGTGTTTCTATATTAACTTTTAAATTTTTTTTTTTTTGTTTCTGTCATCACCGTATTTGGGGCAGTACAACTGCTTAGTCGCTTAGATTTTCTTCAACAGTACCTATCTCGATCGATCTGAAAGTGAATGTAGATCATTCAGAAGATCAAAATTTAAAATTCCATAGTTTTAAAAGCGCCTAGAATAACAAAATAAAAATTAAGGAAAAACGGGAATTTTTAAGCAAAATCAGTTTTCGACAAAATCAATTTTGGTTTTTAGTGTACCTAACTCTATAAAATAAACCGTAGATACATGAAATTTTCAGCATTAATTTCTGCACACGATAAAATTCACACGATCAAAATATTTTTACTTGTTTCGAGCTGTTTACGGACATAATACATTTTCAGTTTTTTTTAGTTTTTTTTCTATGACTGCCAATAAAATTTTATTTGTTGTGTAAAATTGCTTGAACATTTAATACAAGGCTCTTAATATATTGTTACAATGAAATTTGAAAAATATTAAATATACAGTCACAATTTTTTCTTATAAGCATTTAAACTTCAAATTTTGACAAAATACGTAAAAATCACGAAAATGTGCAAATTTTTTTGAGTTAGAAATACATTTTGTAATTTTGTTTTTTAATCTAACGTTAGAATATTTAATACAAGATACCTCATAAGTATGTCTACCTTTATTAAAAAAAAAATGTCATTTGTTGGGTCAAAATGCGTCAACATTTAATACATATTATATTAAATATTGCTATATTTTTACTTAATCAGTTGAACATTTTTTAAAATACATAAAGGCAAACAATTTTTATAAGCATTTAAAGTTCGAATTTTGACAAAATATATCTAATTTTGAATTTTAAAATTATTTTGTAGTTAAAAATTTATAAAATGTTTAGTTTTTATAGCAAAGGATTGACAATTTAAAACAAAGTTCCACGTAAATAGGTAAATAAATTACTTTATTCACAAAAATATCATCAAATATACTTAGTAATATTATATTATAGCCTGACTGACCATCTTCGCTCGGAATCATTTTTCTTATACAATAATATTATATCATTGAACTCAAATTTAATACCATCCATTATAGACTACAGTGATAGAATTGTATAGCCTACTGTACAGCAGAGAGACATCCACTTGCCAACCTTTTTTTGTTGGAGCACCCCCTGTGAAAATCTTCTGAATCTTCTGGATATTATTACCTTGATCAGGCTACTTCAATAATATTTCATAATATAGAGTCTAGGATGCTTTGTGCTATAATTTATTATAATCGATAATTACAAGTAAAAATATATTTCTTATTAATTTAATAAATTGTTGTATTAATATCTTTATAATTTGTATAATTTTATATTTTATACTATAACTTAGTTGGATATAATATATTTCATTTATTTCTTTTGTTTACCTACTTAAATCTACAATTAATTTTTAGTAAAATGATTAGATATTTAAATTAAACGTTTTTATTATTAATATATAAGAATTTTTTTTTATTTGTTGACATGATTAACTTAATAATATAACGTAGCTATGTTTTAAGCTGCGAATATAATATGTATCCATATAATATAATCTATTAAACTATAGTACCAGCTAATATAGCATATTGTTTCATATTGATTCGATTTTGTTTCTTATTATCCGAAATCCGTACCAGTGGCGGATTTAAGGGTTCAAATAAAGTCCATGAGACTACTGGGAGTTTTTAACTTTTGACCTCTGTAAGTACCAAATAGATTCACTTTCCTACCAGAAAGATGCTGAAGTAGAAAATCGAAGCTTTTCATTGCCCCGAAATGTGAAGACGGACACAAACACAATATTTTATAAACTGTTGTATAGTGCTTAGCCCGTTAACAAATAAATAAATAAATAAATACTAGCTGATCCCGTGCACTTCGCTGCCCATTAAAAATGAAAATTCTAATGAATAATATGTTTTATTTTATAATATTATATAGCGGTTACCATAACAACAATATTAAAACTGTGCCAGCCAATAGTTATTATTACAATAGCTTCAAAACCCATTGCAACCATATTTTATAAACAAAAATTTCCATCTGAAATCTCAAAATCCCTGTTTGAGCACCTCCCGGGGCTGGTCCTCTCAATTTTTAAATTAGCCTATCTTCTGTCCAGAAGTCCAATCTATCTCTGAACCAAATAATCCCGTGCATTTCGTTGCCCGTCAACGAAATTATAATAGTTTCAAAACCCATGGTAACCATGACAGCCAAAGGACACACACACACACAGACAGACAAACATTCCATACCTCCTCCTGGGGTTGGTTACCATGGTAATATGGATACACACACAGACGGAAATCTCAGAATAATATTTAAATGGTTGCCATGGTAATATGGACACACAGACTTACATTCATTATAGATTAAAAATTGTTTTGGTAATTATTTAAAATTTAAAATTAACTATATGGCAAAAGCTTTTTATCCAATTGTATTATTTAAAATACAATAAAACCAGTTTAAGACAATATCCATAGGACCAGTTGAAAAATCGTGTAATTCTGGAAATTGTTCATCAAATTACAGGAAAATGAGCATAATATATTAAGCAAGATTAACGAGTATACTGTATTTGTAATCAGTAGGTACCTATTAATATGTGGTCTGTCATGCTATTCAAAAATGTATACATATTATATTATAAGTTTTTATTCATGCTGGGCTGCTGCATTTTTGACTCACTAACCAGTCTTAGTTATAAAATATATTAAATACAATTTTCAGTTCTGGAAAACATGAGCCACCCTTTTGCATCTGGCGTTGTACACGAGGATGTCGAGATCTGTAAGATTTACTTTCCTATCAGAAAAGATACTGTTGAAGAAAATCTAAGCACTTTTATAATTTTTTTGTCCTAAAAAGTGATGACAGCCACAAAAAAAAACACACATCGTTGTAAAATCAATACATTCATCGCTCCACTCAGAATCTAAAAGCAAAGTCTGGTAGAACATTGGAAATTTCATATTGTGTCTATGTTTAGCCAAATGCAAATTAGATATTCAAATTTTAATCATCTTATTAATATATCATTATTAATTAATGTATTATAATTAACATGCAGATAAATCAAAATAATTGGAAGATAATTATTAATTATTTTATTTTTAGAGTGTCGATATTACAAAACACACAAATAATAATTAATCGTCATTTTTCAATAACTTTTTCGGCTTTTAATTTTTATTGTATTTTATAGTATTAGTGTACAATATACTATATAGTATTATAATAATATTTAATATTTATATATACATTATAATATAAAATGTATATTCTACTAACTACTAACACTATCACTGTCGGCCTGGTACCTAAAGGGCCCCGGATGCATTTCTTCAGAAGGGCCCCCAAAAATGTTTTTTCATAAAATTATTAAAAATGTACTTATAAGTAGGTAGTGTAAAATATTATAATTTTTTAAAGGTACCATATATAAAATTAACCATCCATTAAGTTAAGATTTAAGTTAGATTAATAATTTATTATTCTAAACAATTTTTTACATATTACATAATATAAATAATACCTTCTCACATTATACAACTTAATATTTTTTTAATGTGATTCAAATTCAAAATTAATTGTGCATTTGGTTTTCTTTATATCAGTAATGTTTTTAGTTCACTAGATGAGTTAGCAATCGTATCAATCAACTCATCTGAGTCAATCAAAATATCCTTTTCAATGGACATTAGCAATAATGGATTAAGATGTTCTTGGTGTAAAGAAGACCGAAGTTTAGTTTTGATTATTTTCAGCTTTGAAAATACTCTTTCACAGGTAGTCTGTGTTGATGGTAATAGCAACACAAATTTATATAATGTGAACAAATTACAAAATAAATTAGATTGACATGACAGCTCTTGGAGCAAAATCAATGCACACTGAAGACATTTAGTGCATTTGTCACATTTAATTTGTTCGGTGGGTTTAACTTCAATATCTTCATCTTCATCAATATATATAATTTTAGAAGATTTAGATTTAATATCGTGAAAATCATTTTCAGATACATCTGGTATGAAATTGCTACCTATACTGACAAGCAAACTGTTTTAGCTCAATTGCAATGATCTCTTTGTCTAAATCTGCTAGTTTACATATTGTGTTCAACGAGTCTTTAGGAAATTGTTCAAGTTTATTAATAAAAGCAAATGTTCTAGGATCCAGCCAATTTAAATCTTTTAATAACATTTCATTAGGTACAAATCGTGATTTTATGCTATTAAGAATAGTATCTATAATAGAATAAGAATTTGACTTAAATGTTGTGTAAGGTGTTATAATTCTAACTTCATCTGAACACTTTTCTCCAGATAAAGTTTTTTTTTTTTGGAATATGCTTAATAGGAAAATCTTCTTGAATATCTATGAGGTCTTCTTCATCAAAAAATATTTATATTTCTGAGTACGATCGGGGGCGGGGGCCCCCGAACACAAATACGGCCGAGGGCCCCGGACGCGTTTGCGGCCTAGCGGCCATGGCCAGGCCGACACTGAACACTATCTATTTAATAAGTAATAAGCATGATGATGATTTATAAATGTACTAAAATATTATAAAGATCAATGCACAGTGGAAATAAAGAGCAGAGGCTTAAGACCAAAGAGACGAACGGACGGACGGACGGACGGGATTCGTTGTCGCTGCGCCGGGACGTGCCCTTCCGCTCGCGACGCGCGTGCGCGGCCACTCGCTCGCACACGACCCTCTCGGACAGTGCGGCGCCAGTGACGATTGTGACGGCTGACACACACACTCACGCAAACACACGCGACGTACACACCACGCACACCCACACACGCATACACACACACACACGAACACACACACTCACGTGACACAAACGCAAGCGCGCGCAGCGCAACGCACGCTCGCCAACGACTGTTATTTCATATTTGAAGGCGTTTGAGACTCGCGACGGTCATTTGCTGTTTAGTGATCATTCGCCCGTTCGTCTGATGAGATCGTCTCGTTTCTATCCCGTGCCGTAATAATAGTATTGTAGTCTCTCGATCAGATTACGATCGTATATCGCTTTTCTGTGTTAATAATTGATATTACCTACACGTCGCCATAGCCCACACCGTCATACTCCGTCCACTCCGCGTGCTGTGTGCGCAAATCCATTTCGTTCTGTTCGTTTGATAATATTATTTTCGACATCTACGCAATTAATAAATTGTATTACTTTAATAACAATTATACTACGCTTTACACACGTCTCCGGTATTTTTTCTGTATAAGACCAATATACCTAAACAGACGTCATGGGTCTGGCGTCGTATTTAACGGTGGCCAACATCGGCGTGCACGTGCTCGGCACTATCACGTTCGTCTTCTCCGTCTACTATAATTACGTTCACGTCAACATACCCACGCACGTGAATCCCATCGACGATGCATTCGGTGGGAAATTCAAATACCTCACGTTTTTAGACGGAGTGAGTAAATCGTATTTTAAAATATTAAATAAACCAATGTATAACCCTATATTCTATAATATTATATCCCTCTTCGTTTATATTCCCCATACATGTTGCATGTTAAATAATTCGTAAACAGAAACTATAAAATTTTTTAATTTTCAAAATTTTTTCATTACCTAGTCTTAAACTCTAATTTATTATACAACAATAAGATTAGGTACGTAATTTCAGTTTTTCAATTGTCGGTGCCAACATTTTTGTAGGCCATTTTAAAATCAAATTACATGGCATATTGCTTACTTGTTTTTTGTTCATTTTTTTTGCCATTTGCTATTCTACAAAATAGTACAGAACACAGGTACGAATGAACACACTACACCCGCTTCAGCTCACCCCAAATAACGCGTCTCTCGCCTGTATAAGATTCGAAATTCTGATATATTTATGAATGCTATTGGTTGTCAGCTTATCACTATACTGTTGTTGGAGAAAACAACAAATATTTATAAAATGTACTGGTCATTTTTTACCTCGTTTTATACCAAAGTCTAAGGTCACTACCAGATGGTGCCTTTGGAGTTAACTCTTGATATTATGAATTTGTATATTAGAGTACTTGGTATTTTTAGTAATACAACGACTAGGTGTCAAATGAGCATTAAATAAAAAAAAAAAATTATTGTTATGAAAAGTTTCAGAAAGTTAATAAATGTTGTTTGTCTAGTAGGTGAGCCCTATTTGTATTTAATGGTTATAATATCCTCTCGAACACAAGCTGTAAATAAGATTTGATTTGGAAGTGAGGAATGAAAGTATATTATGTATTTAAAACAATATTTACAACTTTTATACAATTTAATGTGTAATCATTTTTAAATTAAATCCAACCGGAAATATATGATGGCATATTAATTTTTTTCATGCATGAGCAAAAATAATAAAAAAAAAGTTAAAATATTGCTTAGGATCTGAATGAAGTTAATAGCCAATGAGTACTATCATGCTAAGTTTCATAAACAATTACTAACACTTAAAGAATTAATAGATATGATGGGTTATTTTAATATTAGTGAATCATTAAAAGAAAATTTTTTCAAAAATGTTAATAGGTACTTTTTTAATTAATGAGTATTTATCTACAATCAAAATAATCACTCTGTATATTATATGTATGATATATGTTATAATCAATGAATCTATACTAATGATTAATGACTAACGACTAATGTCATAAAGAATAAGTTTTAATTTAGAGATAGTGTCAATTAGATATATTGTGAGTTGGGATGACAATAAAGATAAATTATTTCTTGTTATTCTGATTTTTATTATTTTGTATGAATGCTGTAGTTTATAGAACGGATTATTTGAGTGGTGATATAGATAGTAAAGGGTACCTAATTAGTAATTATGCTAAATATTGGTCGTCGGAGTTCTGTATTTTATTTCTGAAGTAGGTATTCAATTAAATTTTTTATAGACTTCTAGGTAGGTACTAGGTACCTCTATGTATAAATTCTGTAGTATTTATATTGTACTAGTACACTTTTAAGATAATATAATATATTAGAATAGATAATATTAAATACATTTGATATTGTATACCTATATTAGTTTTAAAATTATGACATTTTCATATAATTTTCAATTAAACAGTAGAGTACCTAGTACCTACCTAAAATAGCATAAAGAAATCCGTGATATATATTTTTTCTAAGTAAGTAAGTAAGTAAGTGGTTCAATAGTTGAAAAAAATGGAACATTTACGAAAATTACTTATATGCATAATGCATATGCATATCGCATATGTATACTATTGTTTATTTATTTGATTATATATTATAATTGTATATACAATTATTATAGAGAGAGGCGTTATCTTGAAGCATATTAATGTTATTGTGTTGTGTACTTTAAATTATAATAAATGCGTCTCATGCACAAACAATAAATATTATACTACAACAATTGAAAACTTAATTTTAAAATTAAGATATAATTTGAACATAATCTTCATATATACCTATATATTATATAACACACAAATTGTTTCTACCTAGAATCCATGTCTTTAGTCCTTTATACATTGCTAAACCATTCATCCGATCTCGATGATATTTGGTACAGTGGTAGGGGAAGAGGATAGGCTACATTTTGTCGCAAAAGAGATAAATAACAGGTCCAACCAGGAGAGGTTCTCAAACAGGGATTTTGAGATTTATGATGGTCATTTTTGTTTATAAATGGTTGATATTGGTTTTAATAATAATTATTATTATTATTAATGTGTATTCTAATACAGAATGTATCGAGTTCGAACCACGGTTTCGGTGGACCAATTTTTTTCATTTGGTGATACTTTAGAGTTAAATTATACACTTATGTACTCACCACGCGGGGTCCGCGACCTACCTTATAAAATATAATATACTGCTCGCATAATCACAAGCGAATCTCACAGACAACGCCGGTTGGGATGGCTAGAAATTAAAATATAATATAATTTACACTTAAAAAGACATTGCTTCCACAGCGTGTTGGACTCAAAAAGAGTTGAAGAATCACAAAAACCTAGTAATACCAAAACATTGCCGTGTCAGCTATAGAGTAGATATATAATTTTATATCTGAATTTATACTGATATTATTAAATTCACGGTAAACATAATATTACGTTATATAATATATATATACTATATTGTAAAATTATGTTTATTTTAAACTAAAAATTAATCAATTACGCTTTACACGTGTAGGTTATTGGTAGTATCAAGTATGTAATCATGAACCGTAAAATCGTGTTATTACTTTTATGGGAAATGCCATAAACAGTATGGGTACCTATCTAAAGTTTCAAGCTTCAACACACAATAGCTAACAGTGCAGAATTGTTGATTATAAGTTTATTACTTACAAGTGTCAAATGTACCACACATGAGCAAATCAATCAGTGGACTTAGATATTTTTACGGTTTATAATAATCTATTTCAAGGTCCTACGTGTTTTGCGATATGTAAATTGTTCAACATTATACGGTGTTCAAACTGACTCGGCAGTTTATATTATTATTGTGTTTTGCAACAAACCCTTCGTTTATTAGTTTGAAGCCATTAGCCAAGTTTATGTACGCAAATTATATACATATATGAATTAGACGAGGAATTAGATTAGTTTAATAATATAATACAGACAGTTTTAGTCGTAGTTGTATCTTAGGTTTTATTGCTTATGGGTTATGCATCCAGAATCCAATCACAATTAGTAATGGGTTATCGAGATTTAACATAATATATTCGATAATTATAACTTATTAGTAGGTATAAAAACTGTACATACATATTATGTGCAATGATAGATACTCTTCATAGGAATTCTTGGATAAACTTAATTCAGTTATTCTATTACTATATGTTTATATGACCAATGACTTTTGTTCGAATATGATAATTGATAATAATATGTAGGTATAATGTGTATTAATATTGTGTTATTATTATTATTTTTGTTTATTTTGATAAATTATAAGGGAAGTAATAGCAAGTATATAAACAATCGTGTTTTTAAAAATGTGTATAACCAGAGACTTACGCCCTTAAAAACTTAAAATATGCATTTATTTATGCCCTAAATATAAATAAGTCCTTAAAATATGTCATATTAATCAATAATCACTTAAATATTTTTATTGGTTTTGTTATTAATTTATATTGTAAAGAATATACATAAATGATAAATATACGTTGTATATAAAATTCATAAATTAATTAAATCTAAATTTATATATTCAGATTTCAGGGCTTTTTAAGCTTGTCTGAAAACAAAATGAAAATTCCATTTATTAATTTTCTATTTATTCTTCTTTTATTATTTTAATAAATACTAATTATTACCCAAATTAATAGTTACATTGTGTGATTAAAATTGATAAAAGCATATCAGTAGTTCATACTTCATAATGGTCCCGCAGACGACGAAACCACGACCCTCACTAATTTCTTTGAATATCCTTTAAGGTAAACCTAAATTTTTTTTAATTCTATTTAAAAATGAATGTAAAATATGCATTCAAAATGAGAATATAACAAAGTATGCACTAACACGTAAAAAAGAGTAAAATATACGAAATATGCAAAAAAAATATTACTGGTAGGTACCTATTATGAGACAGATTTCTATATCTCCAAGCTATGTTTTGAATAAATATTTAAAACATTAAAACTCTGAAACTCCTATATGTCCCTAGTCCAAGTTATAACATACATGGTGATTTTACTTTTTAAAAACATATTTTTTATTCTCACTCTTTGTACACGTAATAGTTTTATCTCTTATAATTATAACGACAAACAACTACTGCCATAACGCGAAAACGGGTAAGACGACTATATTATAGTGAAAGTAAAAATATCTAATACTCGTGTATTATTTAACTCTGATTCTCAATTCGCCAAGGATTGATTTCAAACACTAGAACCAGACTTAAAAAGTTTGATGTTTGTTAGATGAATTTTTAAATAAAAAGTAATTAAGTAAAAAAAAACCATTAGATACTATTTTCATAAATATTCATGGCCTATTATACAATGAAACAATATCTAGTAAGTAGGAATAACATTAATACATACATTATACACGACCTGCATAGTACATGTAACTTTCCGACCAAATTATACATTTTAGTAATATAACAATATAATAACATATCTAGTACCTACCATACTGTCAGTTGTTACTTGTTACATTATACATATTATGCATGTTTGTTTATTATTAGGTACCTACCTATTACCAGTATTACCTATATCCGAGTATACATAAGTATACAATCATTAAGGTTGGTTTTTAATTATAAAATCGAATTCTATTTATAAAATATAGGAATGTCAAAGTTGAAAATTTAAGCATTTTTATTTTTTAGTGATCTTTTAAATGACCACCACTTATATTATAAGAATAATTTTGTTTAATAACTAGTGCAATTATGGGTACATAATATAATAATATTACATACGATTATTGTATTCAGTATTGTTCTTTATTTATTTAGCTATACTGCTATAGTACATTAGTGCTATATTTTATTAATATGTCTCAAATGTTATTAGGGTACCTATTTTTCATAATATTACCTACTTACATAGCTATTATTCACACGTATATTATTTCATAATTATAAATAATAATGAATAAAATGTAATACCTGAGTTAAATTATATTCTATTCATCCTAATTCAATCGTATTTTAGCAGTTGTTACAACTATCTATGTAGGATACATATTGTATACGTTTTGAATAGGTGAGAATGGCAAATTATTTTATTACGAATTTAAAAACGCCCAAGGACACACTCACGACTAACACAATATAATTGTGTGTTATTATTAAACACAAACCAACTTAGCTAAAATATACTTTTTCAAATTTTGATAACAGGCAACAGTATACAAATGTATATTACTATCGTTAATCGATGTTGTTGTTTTTTATGGTGTGTCCGTATTAGGATTATAATCGTAATTTCTATATTTGCTGATTAAACTGTAATTTATTTTGAAATTGATTCCAAATGTACATGATGTTTTTTAAATTGTTATTGAAACGTGGAATTATATATATCATCTTATTTTGGAATAGGTTTAAAAGACATTTTTTTTTTTATTTGGTCAGTACAATTGCAATGTACCTATTAACACATTCTCATATACACTCACACACATATGCGTGTGCTGAAAAAAAAAATAACGCAGTTAAAGTAATGAAATAATAGAATTACAAAATGACATTCGAAAAAATATATATTATACATATTATACTGTAGAGCCGTATATGATATATATTATACGTATAATAAACATATTATTATATATATATAAATTCTACGTATACATATATACATATTGCTGTGTTGAAGTAATTTGTTTCGTTACAGTATAATCGTGTTTTTTATTCATAGAACAAAATAGTTTGTAAATTGTAGGTAATCTAGTACATATATATATTATATCGTATGTATGAATATTGAATACTGCATACTGCTGCAATACTGCATAGCTACCTGCTAAAATATAAATACATTTTTACAGAAGTCATAATAAAGAATACCAACTTTTTAGGTACATAGGTATAATGCATTTTTCATAATCTCCGATAAATTAATTGTAGGTACCAATATGTCGTACCTCGTACTATTTTGTTTGTGATATAATATTGTATAATATGTATTTCAGTCTCACAAGGTTAAACCTTGAATTATGAATACATTTTACTTTAGTTTGTTTATATTTTGAGAAGTTATAAATAATAATCATAGACCAGAACTTCACATTAATAGTAGGTACCAAACTTATGAAGGATCCTATAGTTAAGCCTCCCATTGTAACAAATTGTCAGCCCTCTCCAAAGCAATAACCAGGAGTGGTGCATAATAAATAGCACACTTGCAAACATTTCTTTAAAATCGCTTGACAGTTCTCAGCAGTAGATAAGATGCATTTAATGAGATCGGATGATTATAGAAGATAATTTAGTGAGAAAAAGGCAAATTGGGAGACCCTGTTTGAGATGGATGATATAATTTAAAAAGACGTTGAGTCTCTGAATGAGGGACCAGATTGCCCGAAAATACGAGCAACTAATAGAGCAAATTTGAGGATTGCATGTGCGACGCGATAGTCTGAATGACAGATAAATAGATCCTAAAAACTAAGAAGAAGAAACATATATTCGGAAAATGCCTCTTCAAAGTACTAATTGATTTCCAAACTATAAAGGTTTATAGGTGAAATTATTTGAGCACTCTTACATTCGAAAGTGTAAAATAAAAAAAAAATAAAAAATAATATATACAATAAAACCAATAGATTCCTCGCTATTATCTCCAAATCTCCAAATTGTATCAGGAATTCAATAGAAACATATTTTATGACAAAAATCGTGCTCTTATGTCTGTTTATTTATTTATCAATTTATGTATTATGTTAATGTAACCGCATGCAGATTTATGATATCAATAAACAATATAATTATTATATGATATTAATTTTGATGTACCAATATTATGTATTAGTTGTTAATTACTCGTTAAGAATTTTATATAGTGATAAACTGATAATAATACGTTTAATTTAATTATTTTGTACTAATTTGTGTTTATTTTATTTGTATAGTGTTTTCAAGCATTGTTTTTCCTATATGCATTGATTGTGGACATATTTCCGTTGATTTTCCCTACTAAATCTTCGATCTTGGAAACATTAACTCAAGTGAAAAACTTTTTCTTCGCCAGCATCGCTTTTCCACTAAGTATGGTAAGTAAAACTTTTGAATCCAAACATAATTTTAATATTTTTAGCGTTCAGAAGTATAGTTAATAAATAAATATTATAAAAATATGTTGGGACAACAGCCAACGTGGGTACAATGGCCAATGGGTACATACTATATACATACTAATATACTATACATACCTAGGTACTTGCAATAGGTACATAATGTACAATGTACATACTTGCAATTTGAATATAAATGTTGTTTCCACTAATTAGATCTCATTATATTATTATAACTGTTCTCGCTTCTCTTTCTTATTTATTATCCCTCAGCTCATCTTATACACGCGCAGTGCGCACGTTCCATTTAGAGCAGTGATCTTCAACCTTATTGGACTTGAGACGCATTTTAGTATTTACTTATTTTTTGTGCCCCACATGTTAAAAAAAAGCTGATTGATAATTACTGTGTTTGTGTAAAAACGGACACATTTTCAATTAATTTAGTATTATTATGTTAATCGTATTTGCTTCATACAATTGAATGCAATATATTTTTACTATATAGTTTTTATTTAGTAATTAAAAGCATATTTCGACCCGCTCATATGACCCAAAATTGGGTCGAGGCTCGATACACACCGGTTGAAGAACACTAATCTACAGAAAGCTTAATCATATACTGTTCGACTGTTCATGAATTTCCGTCCTTGTCCGTCGTCGGATTGCGATCTTCTACTATAATGAGATTTTTTTCCAATTGATTCCCTTCAATCAATTGGAAAAAAATTTACAGAACCAAAGGGGGTTATGTCCTCAGTCCTCACTATCTTACTTCATTACCGAGGTTGACTTCTTAATTTAATTTAATTTCTGTGTTTATTTTTCAAAATAATTGACGTAGGTATGTATACCTGCTTTATACATAAACTAAAAAAAATGTGGGATAATTAATTTTTTTTAAATATTTATGATGCGTAATAAAACGGTTTATACATTACGAACTTCTATTAAATGTTGTCCAATATAAAAAGCTGTACTAAAAAAGTATGTTAACAGACTAATTAATATCTTGAATGAATATTATTATGTAACAAAATCTATATAACTAAAAAAATCGTTCGGACGAGCGTGTTCTTATGAAAAGTAAGTTGTTTAATTAGTTAAATTATATTTATTTTAACAACTAATGAAATATAAACCATGTTTTAAAAGCTTAAACCTTTTATTTAATTTTATTTAACAAGAGTCCCGTTATTCCGGATAAGGAAAAAATTATTGTTTTCGATTATTGTAATTATTAAAAGGTCATTTTAGATATAATTATTATTTATTATAATACCTATAATTACTTACCTAGCCCAGAGGTTTTCAAACTTTTATTAAACACTGCACATCGTGCTCCTCAAAACATTTTCACGGCACACTGACATTTTTTTATTCGAACTAAATAATTAGATGAACAAAATTGTTTTGAGTTATAATTATATACATTTAATTAGAAATGTGTGCTTGATGGGCTAACACATTTTTATTAATTATATTTTTATAATTTTATTTTTGGATGAATAGTTGAAATTTTTAGAAAACCGCGACATCCAGTTTAAAAACAACTGACCTAGCCTATTATAAACTTTATTTCAGTATATCCTACAAAGTTCATTATTGAGGGTTAAAATATAATAAAGTGAAATATAGTCTGCCGTTTGACGGTATCCGCAGTCCGTTTAGCATCGTTTTTCGTAAGCCATGATTTGTCATTGAATTCAAATGTATAACATTACACTATTACAGTGCTTACCCAGTGACGATGTACATTCGATACATAGGTACTATATACAACAGAGAGAGTCCTCCAATTTTATTTGATTTAATCTTAATTATTAATACTTGTTTACTAATAAGTATTCTATAGTTTTCTTATAACTTAAACTTCAAGTCTTCAAGTCTGAAGGTATAAACTTCATAGTTCATAATGTGACGTAGATCACAACTTTTTTTTTCATCATATATATATATATATATTATATATACAATGACCTAGTTCTACAAACTATAATGCAACAAAACGCGTTTGAATAAATATTTAAATTTATTGTTGTTTCAAAACATAGATATTAGATATTAGATACAAAAATAAATTAAAATAATAAATAATAATTTATTTTATAGATTCTTAATATTAGTATTTATATTCGATAGTATAGTACCTATACCTCTTAAAGTACTTGTTATTTCGAACATTCTAAAATACACATTTAAGCATTGAATAGGTAAATAGATAGTTTATAGTTAAGTATACTCAATGATAGGTATACTACTTTTAGGTACATATTTAAACAAAATACAATTATTGAAGAGCATATGGGTATTAAATAAGGAAAAGGTAATACTGAGCATTTTAATTCACGTATAAATAATAGAAAAATTTAAATGTAAAAATCCTCGAAATTGAACCATGGCATTCAATAACTTCGTAGTAACAATGCTTAAAATATGTTAGTATATTCATAACTATTTGGGTTATGGTTAACGATTTGTTAATTATGATTTATTAACCATCTTTTTATTATGTCCTTCAAAATAATATAAAGAAAAATAAGAAAATATCGTTTTACCTTGGTTATCAATTTATCATATACATCAGGCAAATTTTCAAATAATTGACAGTCTACCAATATTAGTCAGATAATTTAAGTAATATATTATACATGTATCATGTATGTGTTGTATATTTTATCCATGCTCCGTTTTTATGGTAATATGACTAGCTGAAATTGTGCCAATGTGTTATAGTACTATTAACAGTAAATAACTAATAATTATAATTATAGGAACTTGGAAGTTTTTATATGTATACATTTATTTATAGATATATACATTAAATTTATACCATGAAAATTTCATTTGGATTTCGGTTAAAATAACTATGTTTAATAATTTGTACTTTGTAGTAGGTATATTGGCTATGATTTTTTAGATAAAATAATATCAATTACTAACTATGTAATAAAATAAAATATTCGTTACGGTTAAAATTCTGTAAAACAGTTACTTACATCTCTTCGTTAAAATATAAAAAAGTTTTAAGATTATAAATAATCATTTTTGGAAATGTTTTCTTCCTTATTATTGTCACAGTATTTGGCAAATATCCTAAGTATGACATATTGTTGAAACGTACATTTCAAAAATAAATCGAATGTATGCAAAATTGGCTCCACTGAATTTGTCGTAATGTTTGAAACTTAGTTCAAGCATTGAAAAGTTATTTATATCATGTATACATATGTCTAAAAATAAAACGAGGATAACAGCAGATAATCTGTAGTCACTATTTTGTTTTTGTAATTTTGCCAATTGTCAGTGATGTTTACAAATATAAATCATTTCAAAAAAATATCAAGGTACATTAATTTATTGGACTTAAATATAATTAATATGTATTCGTTTGTTCAAAGGACTATGAATATTAATTTTTTAGATATTCCTGCGCACAAGATGTTATTTTTCATGGAAGCTTTAAAATTAAATAGGTACATTTATTAATTTTATAAAAGAAAAAGTTCAAAGTTCAAAACAATCTAAATTTAAAATTACCTTAATATTTATTACATTGTTAAATATTTGAATAATTTTTTTTATTAATTCTTGCCAAAAGATAGTAAAATAATAATAAAATATAGAACAATATATTTCAGTAAAATAAAAATATTCCAGATTATAAATTAGGTTTCCGCTGACAAAAACATTTCAGTAATAAAATACTGCGTAATATAATACATCAATATACGCCGTAGGTTGGACGTTGATCTCATTTAATTTAGTTAAATTAAGGAAAAAAACCGGAGATGTCACTATACAAGACTTCAGTTTCGTAGCGAATCATGTTTTTCAGAAGCAATTTCTTCTGGTTTCCTGGGGGGTGGTGGTGGGTCATAACCTCATAAAGCCCACATATACACGGTCAGTCTTTGAACTTTATTTTGGGTGCTACCGGACCCCCCTATTTGAGCATATGAATATCGTATACATCATTTGGAGGTGGGTGGGGTAGGTCATAATTCATAAATAATTTGTTTGCTTCCATATGATTTAAAGTTCGCTACGCCACTGCAAAATTTCATGCTGTACAACTTATATTGGTTTTGAGTGTTGTCATTAAGTAGCTCATCAGAGTCACTGTAATGGATGTGTTATACTCGAATTCAATAATAGATCATTGCGTACGAAAAACGATTCTCAGAGCCAGTGGCGTAAACTGGGTGGTGCAAATGCAGCACTTGCACCACCACATCTAAAATGTGGTGGTGCAAAGGTATGTTTTTGCACCACCAGAAAATCATTGAAATATATAATATATAAAGAGGTACAAAATAGTTATTTTAGTGCATGTATTAGACATTATCATTTAAATTATTACCCTATCTGGCCTATCTATATTCTAAAATATCGTACAACCCCCATAAATAGTTAGATTATTATCTATGGTAACCACTATCCACAGAATTTTGTATTTTATTATGGCAGTATCACAGAATCACGATTAAAGATATTATATCTTTAATCGTGCACAGAATAGACGTATAATTGTTCTGTGGTATAATATGGTAAAATTATATTGCTTTCAACATTCTACCGCCAAAATAGTGTGTTATCACTGGATCAATGTTCATTCAATTCTCAAAAGTCAAATGTCAGATGATAGCTAGACGTCGTATTGAATCAAATTTTAAAATTCTCTTCAGGTTTCATAAGCGCCAGGAAAAACAACATAAAAATTAAGGAAAAACAGGAATTTTTACCCGAAATCGGTTTTCGACAAAATCGATTTTGGTTTTTGACCAAACAAATGAACATTTACATATATAATTGAAATATTCACTGGTTGGGTTAAAAATCTTGGAAATTTAATAAAAGGCTCCAACTATATTGTTACAATGACATAAGAAAATTATTAAAAATCCTTAGTCACAGTTTTTTTTATAAGCATTTAAAGTTCAAATCTTGACAAAATACAGAAAAATCACGAAAATTAACAATATAATTTGAGTTGAAAAAATCATAAAAATGTTTCTTTTCAAATCTAAGATTTTAAAATGTAATACAAGATTATTCATACGTTTGTATACTCCTTTATCAAAAAAAAAAAAAAATGTCCACAAGTAAATCAAATTAAATTTTTATGAGCATTTGAAAATCATATTTTTACAAGATTGGATATTCACTAGATTTCTCATGTAGCGATTTTGTTAATTTGTTGTTATTCAAACAAATAACTGTAAATACATGAAAATTTATATATTTATATTTTAATTTTCTATACACCACAAAGTTTTGAAAATATTTTAACTCTCTTTGAGCTGTTTCCGGACATTGTCATTTTTTAATTTTTTTAGTTTTTTTTTCTATAAATATCAATAAAATTTTATTTGTTGGGTAAAAAGCGTGAAAATTTAATGGAAGGCTCCTGATATATTGTTACAATAGCGTTGAAAAATATTAAAAATACATAGCCATAATTTTTTTTTATAAGCATTTGAAGTTCAAATGTTGACAAAATGTATGGATAAATATATAGTTTTTTTTTGTTAGGAAGGATTTTACTTAGAAAGTTGGATTATTTTTGTGTTGGAAATTATAGGTTAATAATATGCCTCTGCACCACCAGAAATTGGACCCAATTTACGCCACTGCTCAGAGCCATCGGCGTATTTTGGATTTTGTTACAACACATGTAATAGTAGTAATAGTAGTATCATGCAGTATAAAAATCTATTTAGTGGCCCAGAATGTTGATTATCGTAGGTTCTCTCAGTTGTAACGAATAACGAAATAATCAAAGCAAATTATAAAATGTAATATTTTTTTTTTTCTATTTATAAAATTGTGAACGTATTAAAAATTAATATTTCTTGAAAAAGACATCGATAATGGTCGCATAAGAAAATAATATATTAATATAGCCTCACGGCTTAACTTATTATCCTTAAATAAAGTTAATACTTAATGAAGTAGATATAGTAAAGTAGATAAGTATATATAACTGCATAATTAATGATTTATAACCCAGAACTACATCAACATTAAAAAAAAATCTGTCTGCCATAAAAATCTAAGTAGGTATCTATTTAAAAATGTAGTTTAATTTAAAGTTTAAAGATAAAAACGGGTGCTGTGAAGTGTGAGTTTTTATTAAATCACACTAGGTATATGTTATTCATAATAGAACATGTTTAGCCAAATTAAAAATTATTAAAATTATTTCAGTTTGTGTCTACGACTTTTTGGAGCTTATGGTTTATCGACCGTAGTCTGGTGATGCCTAAAGATATAGACTTATATTTTCCAATGTGGCTGAACCACACAATGCATACATTCGTATTCGTATTCGCCTGCCTAGAAATGGTCACCGCCTACCGACCATATCCATCCCGTATTTTCGGAATGACCACACATATTTGTCTGCAGTTATCTTATTTAATATGGTAAGTACGATAATTTCTATTAATATTACTGGTATAACATTATACAAAATGCAATTTACATGTAATAACTTAAAAAGTTATCAACCAATATTATGGATTTTATAATCTATTGTAAGTCTGTAAAAATGTAAATAGTTCAAGATTCGCATTAAATATTCCAAAATTGTGTGATGACTGATTAAACATGCTAAATGTCAATATAATATACTAGTTTTTTTTCATAAGTTATCTGGGTTTTTTTCATGGTTATTTTATATTTGTCACCTTATGTTTATTTGATTAACTTAAAAAACAAGAAATACAAACGAATAACAACAAATTCAACTTATAAATATGTTACTTAGGGGAGACCCCCGGACAAAGTGAATATGTTAAGTTTAGAACCAAAAAATAACCTAAAAAGTGTTTTTAAACTTAATTCAATATCAAAGAATGTTTAGCAACTATCTTAATCTAAGAATCTTCAACTTGGAATACGTAGTAATTTAACTCTTATTGAGAAATATATTATTTTTTTTAAAAATTAAATTCACCTTTTTTTTTTTTTTTTTTGCAGTTTTGAACCGACGGCGTCGCGGGAACTGCTTTCGCATTCTTCCGCGACGCCGCCATCGTTTATTTGAAACAATTTGAAACAAATATTATACTAAATTAAATTCACCTATATTACATTAAAGCAACTTGTTGGTATTGTGAACTATTTCAAATGATTTTACATTACCTAAAAATGATCAAATAATCACCTTTCTAAGTATACATCCTCAAATTTAAACTACGTGTTGTAAGGGTTATTGTAAACTTTCTCGACTTTTATGACCCATAAACTTTTCTGAGTTTACTACCTAAAGGGTATATGTATATTATGTAGGGCGTAACTGTTTTCCTCCACTATATTATAGTGGTAAATGGACATTGCCCCCCCCCCGACTGTTTTCGGTCTAGTTGGACATTTCCCCCCGATATATTTTTGATGCGGACATTTTCCAAGTTAATTAAAGATTATACAATTGAATTTAATATGAAAATTTTTTTTAATAAAATATAAAATAGATAAAATAGTTTTTATTTTCATAAATATAATAGATTATATAAACGTGTAGTTTCATCAACTAAACTATTTACTTGAAACAATAAAAATTAAAAAATAAATAAGTAGATATAAAGTAAAATATAATTAATATATATATAAATGAATGTATGTCTGTCTGTGTGTCTGTGTGTCACTGTGTCAGTGCGTCTGTGTGTCCATATCACCATGGCAACTATTTATATATTATTTTAAGATTTCCGATGGAATGTTTTGTGTATAAATGGTTGTCATGGTAATATGTAAAACATATTATTCATATAGAGTTTGCATTTTTAATGGGGAGCGAAGTTCACGGAATCAGCTTGTAATTAATAAAAATTGTTAAAAAATTCCGACATAAAAATGATATATTTTGTTAAAAAACCTTTGAATTCTGATTCTTTTGTTATTTCTTGACTTATATTTTTTAGCCTTTGTTCATATTTTTGACCCAGTCCCCCCACTTAAAGCCCTGTAAATAATAAAAAAATATTAATACCTAGGTATATATAAATTTCTTTATCTGTTAGCTGTAATTATTATTGTCAACATAATGTTGACCCGGAGAGTTTACTAGTCTTATACTTTATTATACCAATATTATAACATTTAATATAATATACAACCTACAGTAGTTATGGCCATTAGTCTTATTATAGATACGTTCAAGTAATCTAGTATGTAGATTGTAGGTATCTAATAGTTAATTACTATTTGTAAGAAACTACGAACCAAGAAAAGATAATAGATTACCATTATCGTTTAAAGAATGGGTTTTCGTCTATACCAATAAATTAATAAAGCCTTTCTTGTACAATTTACAGGATTCACATTGTGTATAGCCAGTGCCATTTGTGGGTGTATCCGATCCTTACTCAGTTGAGCTTGCCATTGAGATGCTTGTTCTTCCTGGGCACGTTTGTGTACACATCTGTCTTATACATGGTTGGCGAATATTTCAACAAGTTTGTCTGGGGCTATCAACCTCAAAAGGTACAAAACCAGTACGATCCTTAGACAAGAAGTTGAAAAGCTCTCTCAATACTATATGATTATTATTATTATTATTATTATTATTATTATTATTGTAACTATGATTGTTTTTTTGATGACGGATAATCTATAAAAAAATATATCGTTCGATCCAAGACTGTACAACAACGGATCTTCAGACAAAATTATATAAGATAATGTGATTATTATTTTGTATGGACGTGTGTAATATTTTATTTTTATTACCTATACTATATTGCTATTGTCGTTTAGTATTAATCTTTTTTTTTTGTTTATGTGCTTGAGCGTACGCACATTTGTGGGCGCCCGCGCGTGTGTGTGTGTATAATATATATTGGATATAAAATAATATTATTGTATTACATTTAAACACTATGATTTTTCTGTTCATTTTGCCTTTCATTTATGAACATTATATTTATCACGTTCATAATATACATCACATCAAAGGTGGGCAAGTTTAAATTGCTTAAGTTAGTTAAGTTAAGTTCAGAACATTACGATTTTTAAGTTAAAAAATACTTTTAAATCTAAAAAAAAGTTAATGTATCTACCTTCGTGGAAAAAAATATTAACTTACTAGACTAATTAGTCAAGTTATCAAAAAAAAAAATATAAGTTATTAGAATGGACAGTAAATTTAGTTAAGTTATTTATAGATTAAAAAATTAACGAACTAAGGGCTGGTTGTACCGTTTACGGTTACACTTCGATTACGCTTGATCAGCTGATAACTTGGGTTGACTTTTATCGGATATGGTACAGCTGGCCCTAAGTTTAAAAGTTTAGATAAATATAGTTACTAATTAACGCCCACCTTTGCATCGCATAACACACGTCAGCAAATTATAGTTTCATTAAAATATGCCCCATAGTCCTGCATTATTATCTTTAACCAAGAATGTTTTTATTCAATATTCTAACATACTTGGATGTTACATATGTTCGCAGGTTCAAGAAAAACGACAATAATACGCGATATAACTATACAAACACGTTGATCAAAAACGCATTTCATAATATAATTAAGTTGTATAACAATACCATACTATTCACCATTGTACATATTCTTATCAACGCTTAATATTTGCTTATAATTAATGCATGCATTTAATTTAATGTTTTGGTTTGACTAATGTCTAATTGTGTTATGCACTCATATATTTTATATATTATTTAACAAATTGTATATTATTAACATTGTTACAATGTCATTTATATAGACTTGTGCGATCCATAGGTAATATTGTTACCTTGTACCAGTTATACATAGGTACTCATAATAATTACCTAGTTGTAAGGTTGTGTAATACATTTAGTCATTTTTTATTATTTATTTATATAATATTGGTCGTTGATACTAAGCAACATAAAAAAATTTAAATTCATAATTCAATTTTTTTTTTTATCATTGTCTATAATAGTCATAGCTCACAATACGACTGAAGTTTGTAACCTCGCTCAGCATGATATATCTGTATTTTTAATTGAATTGAACGTTCCGGTATTGTCAATAAGTCAATGTAAAATTCAATTGATTACAATTTTTATTTTAAAGTTTGTATAATAATAAATCATTCATTATAGGTTTAAGGTATATTATATGAGCGGACTGTCCGATTTATCATCGATCAACTACGAATAAAGTGCCTATTATTGTTTCAAAGATATTATAATGAGCGCGTTTAACGATTATAATGGAAAAAAAAACAATCCTCGTCTAGTGATTAGTATAATAATATAATGTGTGTTTTTTGAAAAGAGGAAAGAAAAAATGTTTTGTTTTTTTTTACTTTGCATATAATGCATTATAATATACATTATATGCACATATCAATACAGGTCTTATATTCTAGGTAGGTAGATAATTATTTTTAGTGGAATGAAAGTACTAAGTACCATATTATACAAAAATATTGATATTACCCACATAATTATTTATTTAGGTAATGGTAAATGTTTATCGTGAATTTGTTTTTATTCTGACTGGCAATGTTTACATTAACAGGATGCCATCAATAAGTTCAATTAAAATTGATATATCTATAGAAAACGCATTATTTATCAGTGAAACATGCTTGCTACTACAAATTAGATTAACACCTTCGATTGACCTACATTATTATGTGTATAAAGCCGAACAGTTATTTAAGACTCATTAATTCAACAGATATCAAACGTCAACAATTAAAAGATAATTTAAATAAACAAACAAACTTGAAACTGAAACTGCAGTGATACCTAAATATAGGTACATATATTTATATTATATTATAGTCTATAAGTTTATGGATTACCTACGTTAAATGATACCTAGTAATAAATAAAAATAATAATATATTAATCAATATTATATATCTATAATATATTAGAAGTACCTACTATAATATCATATATTAATCTTAGAATCAATATTTTTTATGATGATGTTACTATAGTATTCTGATTAATTACCGATGTCCGATATAGACACATAATATGTTTTATTACTACCTGTATAATATTATGGTAGTTGGCATATTCACCAGATTCAAATGCAATAATGTCTGCACTCTGCGGCCTGCATTAGTCAATATTGCTATCACATTTCCTGACAGTGAGTTAAATCCACTCCCCCCCTCAAACACTGAGTCGCTGCGATTGTAGGGGTAAAAAACAGACGGTATGCCGGACACAATTTAGTATTTACCTCCACCACGGCGGCACCGCCAAGCCAATAACATTATATCATCACCCGATGCAGTGTGTGCTAACCTTTATAGGTACTTATTCAAATATATATATATAAAGTATTATAGGTATACTGCGATGCCACTTGTTATAAACAAAAAAATAGTATAGTAGATTGAGCATCGTGAACTGGTAAAAATGAATCTACAGTTTAAATACTATGATAGGTATATAATAATATATTATACAAGTACGTATTTAAGTTTACTTATATTAATTATTTACGTCGTATAGTAGGTGTAGGTAATACTAAATCGATCGACTTGCAATTATTGTCAACTTAAATTAATATTTATAAGTTCTAATGTTCTATATTGGAATTTTCAACAAACTTAGACCTTGGATGCTTTGTGAGAACAAAATATGTTATAACGTGTTGTCGTGTTGTATAATATACAATATATATTTTACATAATTACATCTACTGCGTACAGTTCGCACTGTATATAGGTACATTAATCATAAATACCTAGTAGTAATGTATTCTATTTATACCTTTTTTTCTGTTTAAACATACAATAAGCCGGGTGCAGGAAGTTGCTTGCACATTATACTGAAACCCAGATCTATATATTATTACTATAAAGGTTTGTTTGACAACAATTTATACAGTTTAGTAGTACTGTATAGTTATTATAATATGATTTATGTTATACCTAACTTAAAAAAAAGAACTCTATATACCTATGTATATTAATTTTAACCTTCTGTGCACATTCACATCATGCCATAGGTAACTATTAAATGTTAGCTTCGCCTCCTGCCTGCCGTCTGCGCACGATCCTTTCCACCTTCCTGCACCAGTGCACCGGGTCGGTCTTTGGTACTCCACTGCTCACTCAACAATTCGGTAGCAGTGCCTGAAGAATAAGATCTGGAATGACATCAAGGCGCAATTATTCCTTCCCATTAGTAAAGAGCTCCAATGCTTCGAATCTCATACGCGTAGGTCCGTTATTGTTGACACAAAAGTACCTATCTCTCTGTGCACAATCACTGTGATGTAACAATGAGATCCCAATATTCCATTCAGTCACGATGAGGAGAGGTATAGTGTTTAAGTACTCAATGACTATATTATTATCCAGAGATATTTCTGGGAAGCTTAATGCCCATTTTCGAGAAGTTGTTGCATGTGATGTCTCGTGAAACAATAGTCTACGTTACGTCACATAGTGACTTCCATATATAAGCAATCAGGTTGAGATACAAGAGACTATGACCCATTTTCATCTCACTGACTTCGCATAGAGTGCACACTGTGAGGGCACAGTGATTGTCCGGGAAAAAAAAGTGAATATTGTTTCAGTCCTTTGACTCCTTTGCAGATTCGAATAACCTGCTCACCCCTATAACCTAGTGGACCTACTGCAGGAACAAGCTAACCTATTGGTACAGGCTTCTAAGATGGTATGTATTATAATATGCAATATGGTGTTTATAGACTCGTGCGATAGACATGAGTTTAATACGTTTATTAAAATGGTTGAAAGGAAAACTAGACTTTTATGTTGCCCCGGGGAGCAACATTTTCTGCAATTTATACAGCCTTGGTCTTATAACAACCACAGTGTACCACTATAGATATTTCATCGAAGTTATTTGTAGTTTTAAAATGCGCATTACTTGCATCGACATTCAAAATATTAAAAAAAAACCTACAAGATTGAAGCAATTGCTATAGATAATATTTTTACCTTTAAACCTGATGATTGGTAAATTCACTCCAATATTTAAAATAACATAATAAAGTGGGAGTCAACACGACACCTGGCATGCTGGTACGATATCCTCGTGTAGTCATGTGGTTTATGATAGATAACAGTTAACACTAGCTTATAGAAAGTAGGTACACTTGAGTGGCATTGAAAGTGAAGATTGATTAGATTTACTAATGCTTGTATATTTTATCATAAGTAGATAGCTTTCATACTGTATAATCACATAAATAGTCAGATATATACCATATACGTATACATAGTATTCGGCTATAATAGGAGTATAGAACACAATAACCCATATAACATATAAGAGGTAAATTACAAACGTTGTGTACTTGTGTAGAAACTATACAATATATAAGATAATATACATATTTTTTTTGTATTTTTATATTTATTATTAGATCTATATATTTTTACAATAAGTGATGGTGGTTTTTAACGAATTGTAGTCTTGAGGGAAGAATCCATCCAATCCATGGATTGAACTTCATGACAAATATACATTTTTAAATATAATTTTTTTACTCACGAAAACCATATAGGTATGCATTTATTATGGAAACGTATACATAATAATTGTGGTCCAATACAATGTGGCAATGCAATATGCATATTATATAATAAGTAATAACTGTATCATCGGTATTTGCCATTTGGTAGCGCATAAAATATGAGTATATGTCATATGATACATTATAAATACCTAATATATTTAGTATTTATTATGTATAAGATATTTAGATATAGGTATTATTCAATAAAATATAGTAAACTACTAAACTAGGTACATAGTATAGGTAGGTAAATATTTATGTTAGGTACATTTTGCGTACGACGAGCTATTATATTCGGTTGGCAAACGACGATGGTTGGGTTTCGTGATGATTATATTATATATTTATAATGTTGTTTTTGAACGGATGTCAAAGTATTGCTAAACAAATAATATTACAATACAACTGTCAAACAACATGCAACAGTTTCGTATTTATATGACTTCCGTTCAACATTAATTTTAAAATTGAATTGCTATAATGACAAGTGAAAAATATATATAGTATAGAATCTTTATATAGCACTTAATATAAAGCCATATAAAATATATAATATGTATCTACGACGATATATTATAATTATATAGCTATAGTATACACATTAATACATTGTATATACATCACATAACACATCCACAAATATGTATACAAACACAATACAGTTACAGTATAGGTATATAATATGCATTATACAATAAAGTGCATTAGTCATCACAAATATAATATTTAAATGCTATAAATTAGTATAAACTTAAGCGATTAATTATAGCCAGGGCAAGAATTTGTATGCAATAAAAAATAGTAATATATGCATTTTATTTACCAAAATATGCAAAACTATGCATTTTTATTTTTATTAGATAAACACAAAAATATAGTTACAAAAAAAATATTTATTTGTTGAAATACATCAGTGATTGGCTGTTTGTCTTAATATAATACAATTGAGAAAAAAAATTATTTA